GAGAAAGGCCAAGAAAAAAGCCAAACCATCTCTCCATAACCAGCTTCTGACAGATGCCAGGGCTAGATTATTCAGGCGAAGGTGAAAAAGATTTTTGTAGGAAAACACATGTATTATCTTCTCATCCCCTCCCCCCCATCCATGTATTATCCCTTGTCTCTGAAATCTTGCCTTAGAGCATGTAGGGGTGGGCTGCAAGTTATAGTACCCTACTAGGGCCTCACACAAAGGTCCCCCCAGTCAGCCTCAGGGCAGGACACTATCTGGTATTGTGTATCTAATACTAGGGCTGTCCACAGGTTAATAAGATGCCAAATGTACATATGGCTCCTGCAGGGTGTAGGTAAAAATGCCAGAACACTGATAAACTCATAACCTCCCTCTAACTTCATTTGCAAGCCAGCCCAAATAGTTGTAGTTGGCTGCAGTCCTCAACCATAGTATTTGATATCCTTTCCATGAAATGCACAATTAACTACAATAGCTTTGGATATTTGATATTCAGGGGACCTAGCACTGCTGTTGCCTGGGCTGTGATTCCACTCTCTGGTAGACTCCAGATCAATGGAGCATAGCACAAGAACCTCTAAGATCAATAATTAATTTTTTTAAAAATACTCCAAAAAACCAAAACCAAACCAAAAAAAATATCCAACCACAAAAATATCCACCACCAAAAAAAAGATGCCAAAACACCCCAGTAACTCTCAAAAGTTAACAAGGGCAGAAAATGCAAAATTGTACATGGGAAGTGAAAAAAAAGTCTGAAAAAAGTATTCTCTTTTGTTACAAAATACCACTGACTTTGTCTTTACACATCCATAGAAGATTTAGATTCTTAGCATAAGAGAGTAGAATATGGTTCACAATTTTAGAAATGGAAACTTTATGCAGCCCAAGATGGTAATACCACTTCCTCAGAGAGCAAATAACTTATTATTAGACATGTAGGGAGCTCTATATCTAAGTGACAGGTCTCCATCCAACTGAATAAGAAAAGGCTGCCAAATCTATTTCTATAATCTCAATGATCCCATATGTTTTCATTAAATATATTAAATAAAATGAGAGATGAAAAGTGGCCTGTTTCTCTTATGCAAAATAATCAGAGGGTTTAATTTTTTAATATTTTCAAAATGAATATATAGTATACTAGAGGTACATGGTTTGTTTTATAAACTACAGTAAATATCTGTCAAAAGAATAATCTTACTGAAAATTTTCACTATTAGACTATTAGGGAGCCATAATCACAGGCCCACATTTCTCTGTTCCAGACTTTGAGCAGGCACACAGCAAAAGTGAGCCTTACCCCATGGACTTCACTATCCAAGGTCCTATAGGCCTGAAGTCAAGAACAGTGTTAAAACACATGGCTCATCTGGAGGATTTAAATCTTAAATCTTAATGTAAATCTTAGACATCATAGCTGTCTACAGCTTCCTCACAATGGGAAGTGGAGGGACAGGCACTACATCTTTTCTCTCTGGAGGCCCATGACAGGACCCGAGAGAATGGCATGAAGCTGTGTCAGGAGAGGTTTGGGATATATATTAGAAAAATCTTCTTTCACCCAGAGGGTGGTTGGGCACAGAAACAGCCTCCTCAGGAAAGTGGTCACAGCACCAAGCCCGACAGAGTTGAGAAATGTTTGGACAATGCTCTAAAGGTCATCTAGTACAAACCCCCTGGAATGGGCAGGGCATATATCCTCATACACTCAAGACAGAATAAAATGCGCTGGCAGCGATGTCACAAATAACTTATGAGTGGGGGTTTTCTTCCTACAAAAGCCAGTTTTGGAACATACCCTTTGGCCTAAATGTTATTCTCCTGATGTTGTACTCAAATGACAGCAGCCATTCATTCACTCATTCATTCATAGATTTCTTCATAAGGTAGGAAGATGTAAAGCTATCAAAGAAAACTGGCAAGAGCCTGTAAGGCATGATTAAACTCTTCTAGGCTTTGGGAACAAAGCCAAGAAAAAAGCCATCAAGTTCTGATGTCTTTTCTTCCTAACATTTTGTTCACGTTTGGATAAAATGCAACAAGTAAAAAAAAAATTAAAAAAATCCCTGTTTCCCTTTTCCTGCTTGCATTCCCTATGGGCACTCTGGCAGCCTGACAAAATAGTAACTGAGAACAAGTGCTGCAGGGCCAAGTCCCGGCTGCAGCTGAGATACGTGCAGGGAGTGCCTGGGAGCTGCTGGGACACCAAAGTGAGTAGCTGAAGTGCTACGCAGCCAGGCTGGTATTTGCAGCCTTGATTCCCCAAATACTCCCCATGGAACATTCATTTTGGTTCTTGCACAGAACAGAGCAGGAGCTTCAGCAGTTTCAGTGTGGCATGAGCAAAAGCAGCCTCCCTGCAGGTAGGAGTGGCTCCATCAGCTTCTTCCCATGGAACCAGAACAACCTGGTGACATTGTGTGGTGTCAGAACTGCTGTAGTTATAGTGCATATTTTGCTTTACCTTTCAGAAAGAGGAGAAAAGATTATTTGGAAATTTTGCATCTACTTTGAAAATTAAGTCCTTGACAGCTTTTTTCCTTTAAATTCTGAAATTTAAAGTTCTTCTTGCATTTTAAGCACACAGAAACTGACGTCATAGATCAGACCAAACATCATTCTAGCCAAGTATCTTCTGTCTGATAGCAGACACTAAGAGGCACCTAGAGAAGTGTAAAAAATACAGGGCAAGGTCCATAATACTACTTTAGCTTCCAGAGGGGCAAGAATAAGCAGCCCATCTGTCTCACGCAAGGGGAAAGCAGAGCATCTTGTTTCGTACCCTACTCTTTTCCTAATAAACTCAACATTCAGTTTTCCCTTTGGAGAACTACTGAGGGCTGAGCTGATTGTGCCACAGAAGTCTCACTTATAACTCCGAGAAACAGTTGATAATCGATAATTGTCCACTCAGAGCTCAGTATTACATTTGTAGTGCTATAATGGTTTTGTCCTGTGTGCACCCATTTTTTCCCATCAACATTAGCTTCCTTTGCTGTTTTGTCATCAGTTGTTCAGTGTTCTAAGAACCTTGTACAACTCCTCCTAAGCAGCCCTCCTCCTTAACTATGCTAGAGATCAGGGCAGGAGCAGCAAACTTTCTGTCCCTCTTTGCCCCTTCTCTAGATCATTTCTGAGCAACTGACAAGTTGAGATCTTTTCAAGGATATCTTGGCAACACTTTTCCACCATGAAAACAGTTATACACTGTCACCACTTGTTAGTTATTTCCTCATGAGAAAAGTTTCTTTAAAAACTCAGGGCAGCTTAGTTTCTTTGTAGTTTTTTGGTGAGGGATCTTGTTGGATGCCTGTTAGTGGGATCTCTCTGTCCACTGATACATTTAAAGGACTCTAGTTAACTCTTCTTCCTTCTACCACTAGCATCCATGAGCCCCCTAATTCTATTTTTGAACAGTTTCTATTATCCCATGAGAGATGTCAGGCATATCAATCTGCTGATGCCAGGCTCAAGTCTATTAATAATATTCTGTAGGTGCTCACCCCAATTCTGGATAAACAGCAATCTTACAAGGAGTCTGAGTTAAAGTACTATGTGTATCCTCAACTTTGAAACATTCATTCTTTTTATTTTGCATGCGTGCATGCACATATGCATATATATGTATAGAAAATTTTCAGGCCATTGAGCAACTACACATCCCATTATGGAAATGGAGAATCAACCTCCACCCTAATCAAACCAACACTTAGGAATCTTTTCTCATAAAGCTGACACTAAATACAATTTGACAAAAGAAATAAATTACATATAATTTATGTAAAACCTGTAATTACAAATTCTTACTCTTTCAGTAACACTTTCTTTTTTTTTCCCAGTTCATTTCCTTCTCTTTTAAGTGTCAGGCTTCTAGACAAATCCTCAAATTGGGGCTTGCCAAACCTATTCTAAAGCAGCAGCACAGAAGCAAATCATAAGCACAGCATCTAACACACCTCTGGAACCATCCAGGAAAAATACATATCCATCATGTCTCTTCCATCTGAATTTCAGTGTAATCTTTTTCCTGCATTTGTATTTCCTCTGGGAAGGCAATATATGTCTGCATTTCCCAACAATTTATCCTACCCTGTCTCCTGAATACCACTCAATCACCAGTGGGGAATTAAAGAACCAAGGGAAAATAAAGCAAAGTTGCCTGAATCTGACATTCTCCACCTCACTGATTGTGTCAGCAGTCCCTCAGCAAAATTAGTTACTTACTGCATTGATAAAAAAAAAAAAAAAAAAAGAAAAGATTAGTTTCCAACTTCATCTATTTGCACATTTTTCATGTGGATATGCATAGTAGATAAATGCCATGCACATGTACACAATTTATTTATTTATTTATTGCTATTCAATTTTTTTTTCATTCTAAAGAGCTTGGAATATACAGTGTTGGTCATTAAATAAATTTATTATGTTCAGACTCTTGCTTATTTGGATTTCATGAAAATTTCCATGATATCATTCTTTGAATCAGGAAATAGTTAGTAAAATGAATTAAATTTGCTTGGTTTGTTTCCAATACGAGGAGAAATAGAAATAGGTATGGATGATTACTTTGCTCTTTATTACTCAGAAGCATTATTCTTATTCTGTCCAACCACACAAAAAGTTTAAGGAATTCCTATTGGCCTGTGACTACTAATGGATCGATGTTGACTGAAAATATTTCTGATAAAATTAGAACAGGTGATAATTCTTAAATGACTGACAACTTAGCAATGAAGTACAATAAAGATGTATTTCTAAAAGATTGTTGCTGTTCAAGAACTAGTAATTAGAGGACAATTATGGGAATTTATGTATCTCCACCAGCTTTGTAAACATATTTATTTTAATTATGGTTACTGCCCTTTTCTGCCCTCTGGAACACAGCCAAGTCCCAGCTGAGAAGCTCTGAACTTTGTCCCATCTTTGACAACCTAAATGCACTCTGATAACATTTGAAAAAGAGGGAAACAACAGGAAAGGAACCACACCTTTGCAACGCTCACAGCAAGCTCCTCTCTGCTTAATGACAAGAGCACAGTCCTTGGAGACCACTGGACACTTCTCCCTTTTGCATGTCACTTCCTTGTTCTGGAAAAAAAATAAAAAAATGGTAAGAGCTATTGCAAGCAAACCAAACCCAAGACTACCATATCTTACAATTCAGAAAAAAAAACCATGAGGTTAGCAGTCTGCTCTTTTACTTCAGATGAGGTTCTTGCAATTCAATACATCTTTCTCCCCTTGAAGGAACACAGTAGAAAAGAGTCTTTGAATAACACAGGAGCCCAAGCAAATGGTGTTTAAACACCACTTAGACAGTAGTTCATGACTGCTACCCATTCTCGTACAGAAAATGTGCCCCACTAAAGAAAACCACATCACTTAAATGAACAACTACGTACATGATGTGCTTGTAAAAATATCCTTGGGTTCTTGAGGTGCTGCCCCATGAACTGCACAGCTCAGGAATTGCTTCTTATGGCAATAGAAGGACAGATGGCAAAGGAAGAGGGGGCAACCTCAGAGAAGACTCTCTGCCACTGCTGGAAGCAATTTTTAGCTTGTGATATTACCTAGCTACCCAGAGATTCTTTAAAAGAGGTTCCTATATACTATAACAGAAAAGCATAATTCATCTTTCTCCCAAAATGCTGAGAATCAATGAAACACTACAAAGAGACAGAATCACTGTACATTATAGTGTCATCTTTCTATGGCAAAAAGCCAGCGATTTCCCAAGGCCAAAGAGCACATAGATCACATTAAGGAATGTCAATAGAGGATGTGTGACAGCAAACAACAGAAATATTCCATTTATAGCCTACCTTGACTCAGTGGTGTCTACCCTTCTGGTTATCCTGGCCATTAAATAGGGGCAGAAAACAAATAATTTGGGTGTTTCTTTCAGCAAAGTTTTGCTACTTCAAATTCCTGACTGAAAGTAGCCCTCTGAAGTCACCTCCACATGTAATTAGTAGCTCAGTTCATTAAGTGACACAGGTGGCCAAATAGTTGATGCAAGCACCAACCTCACCCAATCTTATGACTTAATTAGAGACCAAAAATCAAAGGGATAGAAAAATGTAAATCATAAAACTAAAGGAAAAGAAGCTGTACTTTCTAGTCTTTTTATTTTGCTCCCTGTGACCTTATTCAAGGTGCCTGTAAAGGATAACACAGCTTTTATTACACTCCAGCTCTTTGTCTAAAATCAGAGGTTTATTTTCTTCAGAATCACTGCCTGATCTGATGGGAGCTATAAAGGCACTTCAGTCTTATCAGTGTAAATGAGGACTCACTCTCACCAAGCCAGTGTGAAATCAGGAAATGAGAATCAGGCCCTAAAGTGCAGCTGCAGTGACACAAACGACTACTGTAAAAAGCCAGATCACTGCTATGTGCTGGTTGCTCTGCATCACTCCAGAATTGCAGAGCAACTATAAATGCAATTTAACTGGCAAGTTAAGATGAATTTATGGCAGGTCTGTAGCTCTGGACTGGCACAAAGCAGCTACAGCACAGCATTGCAACTGGCTCAACATCTTTTTTAGAGTGCACAGTGAAATCTTGATTCCCTTTATGTGAACATAGTGTCCCCTGACTTCGCCATTATAAAGTCTGTTGAAAGGCAGCAGAATCAAACTTACCAAACCAACTGCAGTCTGTATTTCAAAGGGTTCTGCTAAGATCTGATTCTCTTTAATGAGACTTTGCTCAAGGAAAGATTTAATAAGCCTATCAGCCCCATTACCTTTATCTGTGGGAAAATCTGCTGCATGGTGAAAGTGGGTGTGAAGAAAGGGAAAAATCCAGTTTAGAGTTTGTTCCTTTGGAGAAGATGATTTACCCAGCTGCAGCTGAGAGATGCAAGATGCACGGTGTCCTTCAGAACCAACCTAGCTGGACTGGACCCATATCAGGGGCTCCAGTGAGCAGCTATCCATGGGACTCCCTCTTCAAAGGAAGGAATTATTGTTGTGGGTAGCAGTGAGAGGGACAAGAAGTATAACACAGCTCCATATTTCTTTTTGTTCCCTGGTTCCTAGGGGACTACACAGGCAAATACCTCATGTAGCCCAGCTTCCTAGGCAATTTCACACCCTCTCCCCAAGTGCCATCTACCTCCTCCTGCCCTCAGGTACATCCTGACATGGTTTCTTCTTGTGTCAATGCAAGGAGTTCCTAAGGATGACCCAGATATACATATTTCAAACATGAGATACTTGCTAGTTACTGTTCTTAAGTAAAAGGCTTATGCTTGCTCCACACTGCTTAAATCACAAAAATTCTCTGCCAATGATGATTTTATACCACTGAGCCAACCCAGGGGGGCAGCCAAATTTGAGTCTTACTCTTCGTTCCTCATCACCAGCAGAGCTGCTGGTTTAGCTCTGAACTCAGGACCTGCATTACAGATGAGAAGGGAAGTAACTGGAAACAGAAAAAAAAAAAATTCTGAGAAAACTCAAAACTGAGCCAGGCTGTACATCCTAACAGCTACGAAGTTTTCTGGAAGGGAAGATTTTGAAGTTTGTGTCCTGGTGCCAAGGGCTGTTGTGCATTAAGCAGCTGTTCCACATTAAGAATATTAGTGGCCCACAGTGCAGTGACAGGAACTAAAGGGTCCTTCCCTCTTGGAGGGTGTCTTAAACAGTAGGCTACAGATTCCCATTTCCTTTCTCTATCCCAATAGACCTTGAACTACTTGCTGCTCAGTGGCCCAGCTTCAGCAGTAAAAGGTTTGTTCTTTGTGATTCCAAAAGCCACTGGTCCTCACAGCAAGGACGTTTGTGGGGAAATAAGGATATGAATCATTGAATTTCCTCTGAATATGAAGGGCACCAAACCTGGATCACTGTCTCAAAGGTCAGATGCTACACCACGGTGATAAAAGGTGGGGTGGAGGTGCCACGCTCATCACCCACCCCCTGTACCTTTTTTTTTTCCTCCTGCCTGCAGGGACAGATCTGTGTATCCTAGGCAAATAGAGCCAATCTTTGCCAGCATGAGAAAAGCAGCTAAGCACTTAAGCAGGATGGGATTTGCAAAGCTGATTTCCTCCTCTCTAGCTTGTATTACAGGCAAGTCTCAGACAGCTCCAAAAGCATGTATTTCAGATGTCATCCCAAAGCACGTAACTCCCTGCCATCAGGGTTGGGCTACTCTTCCAAGGTTTGAGGTAGAGCACTGCTTGGGACTTCAGCCCCCACCACTTCTTTTGGGGCTTTTTTTCTGAACAAATATACAGTAGAGCCACAATTGCAACATACCGCTGTCCTGGTGTAATTCTCATGGCAAAATCCCTCTTGTACAAAGAAGAGATGAGTGCAGCTCCAGGGAAGTGCATCCAAATACCTCTTACTGTTTCTATTACTGGGTTTAATCCCAAAAGTCTTTAAAAATATCCTGCTGTTTTATCTCAATGCTGTATCTTGTGGAAAATTAGGCCAGCAGATGTGGAGGAAAGGGTTAATGTACCATGTTGATGTATCATTGCACTGCAACAGATAAAGCAGGGCTGGTAAATCATTGTTTAGTCTATTGCAGGCAGGCATTATCCAGTGCAGATCTCCTAGGCCCACTGGGTGTAAAAGTACAAAGATAAAATAGAGTAATTGTCATCAGGAGGGTTTGGGTTTTTTTCTTCACCCAGATGCCCAAAACACTGCTCTTAATGTCTACTGTCCATCTGCTTGTTTCAATTTTGCTGCCTCCTTCCCTCCCATTTCATAAGGGCAAAGTGGAGGCTGAGAGAAAATAGGACTTAAGCAACAAATCCTTTCTTTCAATTATGTCCCCTCCTACCTCCAGCAATTGTAACATTTCATTACTTGTCCCAGACATACATTTAGAAAGTCACTAAGTAGCAGCATGCAGGAGAGCGTGTTACCAAACCTCCATCTGTGTTGTCAACAGCATCTCTGCAGCTGTTGAAAGCTCTCAGATACTTTGATTTTTGCTGTTCTTAAGAGAAAATTTCTTAGACGGCAACAATTAGAAGCCAACAGTTATGGGAGGGTAAGGGATTTTTTTCCCTTTTGTTTAAAGGACATGCACTCTGGCACCAAGAAGTGCGGAAGACACACATGGCTCATAAATACATAAACCGTTTGCTAAGTCAGAAACCTGGGAGTCAGTCAAATCCATAATAGGATCCCAAGATTCATAATAAATAACTTTTAATTATACTCCTGCACAATAGTTATTTTAAACAGATGGTTTATAGATTCACATCTGGGATTATTTTTTTTTTTAATTTAGTGCTTAGGCACACACACAGAAAGGGAGAGAACCTCAGCTAAGGTTTTTATTAGCGTTGGAAAAATACGTATTATTTTTGAAGAGGTCAGGCCAATCCAGAACAATGCTGCTGCAGCTGATGCAACTCCCCAGTCAGTGCTCGTCTCGGCAAAGGGTTCACAGTAGAATCCCAGACTCCCTCGGAAAGGAAAATTTAGGGAAGTGCTGAAGGATCACCCCAGACTCCTCTCCTGCACTCACTGAGCCCAACTGCTGCAGAACTCATTTTAATGTGTTTGGGGAAAAGATCAGGAAGTTTTGTTGGGTGCCCATGTTTCTCCCCACTCCCACACTTTGCCAGTGAGTACCAAAGGTTGCCATAGCTTGGCATGCAAAGGTGATGTCAAATTCCCATACAGGAGAGATACACCAACCAGACCCAATACTAGTGTTACTGCTTTATGTTACCTTTACTACAACCTCCTCTCAACACAATTTGTTCACCTTCTACATACACCTCATATTTTTGCCTTCCATCAAAGAACTCCACACAAAATAGTCCATTCTGGTGACAAAGTATATCAAACTAACAGCCTTAAACTCATGTGGTACAGTTAAATAAAATTCCAACATGAAAAGGAAAAAAAAATACAAACACTAAAAAGGAGTCTGAATATTTGGCAGCGGTCTTGGAGAGGATGTGTGCCAAACCACAGCTTGGAAGCCACAGCCAACTTTCTACAGGGTTCCCCACTGGGCTCCTGCCGGCTCACAGCAGCCACTGGGAGGATGACTCTTTTCAACCTGGATTTGGCTTGGAATAGGAGTGGGGAAAAAAAGTCTGCTTCGTCTCTTCAGGGCT